CCCCTCTCTCTCTCCCTCGCTCTCTCATCTCATCTCCTTTTTTCTCTTTTTTTCTCCACGTGTTTGCATGTGCTTGAGTATATGAAAATGCGTTATGATTTTGTGCGCCTCAACGTGTTTCTGCTTCAATCTGTTTCTCACCTTATATTCCATCCGGCGCCCTTATCTAATTTTCCGTTCTTTATCCATACCATTAGTACAACTTACTCTTAAGGTAATCCCCCCTCCCAATCCCATTTTTAAACACTAATTTCCAATTTCTTCTATTCACACTCATCCCTATTTCGTCACTCACCGTCTCCGCCTGTGCGCCCCAGGTCCTCGGTAGTCTTTGGTGTGACTAGCAGCGTCCCGTTGCCAAGCAACCCAACAGTACTCGCCCCCACGAACTGATCCGTTTTGGAAGGACGAATACCGATAGAGTTCGTCGTAGCGATTCCACTGTCACTGAACGTATCGTTGTAACTTCTTACATTAGAATCGACACTGCTTAATGTATCGTTTCCCAGAATGGCCGAGGACAGCGTTGAACCGAAAGTGTGTGACTGGGACTTCAACGTTGTTGTTGCGGTCAGTGATGATGGTGATGAAAGTGATGGGGTCGATAACGGCGTCGATGAAGGATTTATGGAGACACCAGGTGTGAAGGATGACTCAATCGTCATGTCTGTGCCCAGAGGAGGCACATCGTTAGCGGGGGAATCGCCCCCCTCCGCGCCGTAGTCTGTGGAATTCCCGGACCCTGTTGGAAGGGGGGAGGGGGAGGAGGAAGGCACGATGGTGGGTGTCATGACCCCGGAGACTACCGGAGACGGCGTGAGCTCACCTGGAACAAACCTGGGGGTCAAGGTCGGTTCGGGTAACGCTGGAGGTGTTGGTGTCGTCGCCATTATGGGCGTGGCATGGGGCAAGGGAGACGTGGTCGTCGTTGTTGATCCCTCTAGTTGTGTTTGTGTTACAGTGGACTGGTCAGCCATTGTTGGTGGTGTTGTCACCTTTTCTGATAAAGGAAAAAGCAACAAAGAGCTTTCTAACTCAGGGAGTTGAGTTTCACGCCCAGGTTCCTGTTTTGAAGAAAACAGGTTTGAGCTTCTGCTCTCTGGAAGTATACTTACAGAAGCGATGATAGGTAAAGTCGTTTCAGTTTGTATGCCTGTGACAAAGGAAAAGGAATTTTCTCTGACCACGCTGGGGCTTATGGGGTCGTGGGTGGGTGTTGTGTACCGAGGGCTAGATGTCACTGTACTCTTTAGGTATGTTACAATGGCGTCACTTTGTGTAGAGCTGATATCATTGTCATCAGGTATAAGAGCGGTGTAGAGCTCACTGAGGAGCTCAAGAGAAGTGACGGGGTCTGGTTGTCTATGAGAGGGGAAAGGGTTCACGTTCTCTGCTGTCTTTAAAGCAGGGCTGAGTTTTGAGTGTGGAAACGCACTTGGACGGTTTGCCCCTACTGAGACAGAATGTTCGAAAGTTGAAAAATAACCGGAATCAGAAAGTCTGATCACTCCGCTGGATTCAGCTTCGTTTTCTTGTTGTTGGAAGAAGTTTGTTTCATAGATAAATGGTTGTGTAGGAGAGGGTTGTAGGTTTTCACTCTGAGTTTCCAACTTGGCTGAGTTAGGCTGAGAAAACTCAGAACTTTTACTCACTTCTGACTGCCAATACTGATCACTTTGTGACTGTCTGGATTCTTCTGAAGACCGGCCTTGCTCGTTTTGAGATTGACTGACTGGTATCTCGCTATTATCTTCAAAAGCAGATACCAACTCAGTGCTTGAGGGAGACGGGTTCAACTCTGGTCTAATTGAGTGATTGGCGAGGACTGTATCAGATTCGTGGGCAGTGGGGTCTTGTTTTGTCTGAAGAACACTGTGATATGACGAGGGGGGGACAAGGGGCGGAGTCTGAGACGAGAGCAAAAAGTGTCTGAAAGTGTTAACACTGGGAACTACAATGTAGACAGATCTCGATGGTTCAACGGTTGTGTAGGAGTCCTTTTCCGGTGAGGAGTTCGTGACTTGGGTTTGGTGGTGAACATAAGTTGATTCCAATTTATTTGGAACTAATGTTTGGTAGTTGTATCCTGTTCTTTGACTCTGAAAGTCAGTTGATTCTAATTTTCCTCGAGCAATTGTTTGAGAAGGAGACAGGGGTGTGGTGTGACTCGTGAGCGAGCTCAAGTCCACGAGCTGTGATTGGACAACAGACACCTTAGGACGAATACTGGATGATGACGTAGCCGTGACGTCTTGTGACGCGTCCAGGCGTGGAGAAGACGCGTCATGGTAGATGACAGATGATGATAATGACCACGACGACGATGATAAGGATGGAAGGATTGTAGGTGTCAAGGAAACGTGTTCTGAGTGACTGGGAGCTTCTGGGGTCTCCGTAACTACAAAGATATCCTCCTGACCCTGGCTTTGAACTGTTGATACGTGCTCTGTGGACTGGGAAGACAGGTCATGGGTATGTGAGGTCAGTCTGTGAACCTGAGATTCTGGAAGGTTTGCGTTCGAAACCACTAACAGTCCTGGGGTAGCTAACACAATGTGAGAAAGAGAGCCACTAGAATCTTCTGGCGCCCGCAAAGAAGAAATCTTGGGAAGTGAAGGCGAAGTTTCCTGTTCTTTACGGGTTCTAACCAGAATTTCACCGGTGAAGTCGTCGTTGCTTTGAGATATGAGATATGTTGATGACGATGTCAAACTGTGTTCACTTATCACGCTCAAAGTGTTCTCGTATATCCCAGAGACGAAGGACGGGGACAAGAGTACGACGTCACTCTCATCGCCCAAAGGACTAACAGGTGTGTGAGGAGAAGGTGGATTGGGGACTGAGATCGAGAGATGGCTGGCTTGAGAGTATTGATAGCTTTTGGATGACTCGGGAAATGTTAGGACCACGCTTTGAGATTCGAAAACTAAGCGCCGAGTATTCTCAACTGGTGCAAAAGAGTGTGCACTCTGTGTCTGTTCGAAATGAGGAATCTTTGGTGAAAAAGTTTGAAACAAGTCGTTGTCGTGGGTTCTGTTAGTTTCCTCTTGCTGGATGTGTGGAAGGTAGGCGTGCCCGAGACTTGACACAAAGTACTCAACCGAAGTATTTAAGCGTAGACTCGAAGAATCACTGAGTAGGTTGATAGTGCCGCTGAATTCACTAAAAGTAGGCGACGTTGATAAATCCCAATGGAAAGACAAGTGGACTTTAGAAACACTGTAACCGGTAGTAGGGATATCGGATGATGGGAATGGGTTCTCTTCCCCAGAATTTGACACGGGTCTAAAACTAGTTATTGACACTGTGGGCGAGGGGAGGGGTGGGGTTGCGCGTACAGCATTAGAGGTGGTCAAAATTCTTGAACTGGGCACGTCCCTTAAATCTCTAGTATTGTGAACAGAATCCGAAGATGCTAAGACATTAACATTCTCTGCAGCCTCCAGCAACTGAGAAGTTGGGGGACTATTCAAATCTTCGGAACTTTCCCTTGGTTGTGAAAGGAACCCCACATCAGGATTTTCTGAACTATCTACTGACTGCGAAGTCTGCTCAACAGTAACATCTTTTCTGGTTTTTATAGACTGTGAAGTCAACACATCCTGTAAGTCCCGGCTATCCTTCAAAAGCTGCGAACTCCGCACAACTCCGATATGATCTCCGTCTTCGAACTGAGAAGTCGAAATAATCTCCGAATCCTGGTCACTGTCCGAAAACTGTGAAGATGACAGAGACGCCTTTAAATTCTGAATGTCCCTCTCAAACTGTGAAGTTGACGCAACACTTAAATCCGAATCACTTTGCACTGTTTGAGAATTTGCCCCGACATCGTGAACACTACTGCCAAACTCAAACGATGGCGCTAGCAGAGTATTATTCTGTAAAGCTCCAAGGAGCGGACGATTCCAAACCTCGTTGAGAGATCTCTGTGGAAGATCTCCGGACCTCTGTGTTCTCTCAGTGAATGTGTTTGTTTGTCCGGTGTGTTGGGATACGTCACTATAATACAATGACTGAGAGTTTTGTTTTTGGTAATCCGTCTCGTGGGGAGTGAAATAATTCGAGGATGGTGAGGGAATTTCGGAGAAAGAGCGAGAAGGGATGACAGGCTCAACCAAGCGTGTCGTCGACTGAAAGGTCACGTGATGACCCTGGGCTACTGGCCTGGGTCCTGGTGACGACGACGAGGGGAGAGCCAGGGAATCTGAAGGGTCATCGGTGTCCGTGGAGTACTGGTGGTACTGGTGGTGGTGGTCAGCGGCCGTGGAGTGGTGGTCAGTCTCGCCGGTGGTCACTGGAGATGTACCGAGTGACCTGGGGAAGAGATTAGAGAGAGGAGGAGGAAATTACAGGTGATCTGAATATGTAGATGTGGTGTAAATGACAGGGGTGGTTGTTTTTTGTGTGTTGTG